AAAAATGTTGTCAGCATTCCTCACAGATGAAGAAGTTGTGAACAAAGTCACATATTGCATTGAATGTAAACTGACTCTCTCCATCTTCAATCCTCACAGAGAGTGAGTGCAGAAGAACCCATAAACCACAGCTGGAATAACAGAGAGATAAGATAGGGTATCAAGTTAAGATATGCCATAGAGATGGTTTGCAGAAATGTTCCAAAAATCAGATTGGTCATTTAGCCAATAAAGGCACAGGCTCTTTGTTTTGTATGGGATTGAACCAGTAATAATCAACTCTATATATTTTGAATAACGCAACCATACAAAAACAAAATTAGGAAAATTTTTAAATTGGCATAAAATATATTGTATGTCCTATAAGCTAAAGAATATCAACCTAAGTAAAAATCATGCATGGACTTTGGTAACACGGCATTTTATTTTCCAAAAAAATAGTTTTGGAGGAATAAATTTTATTTTACTAAAAAATAGTTTTGGTGGCATAAAAAAATTAAAATATACAAAAGAAATAAAAAAATACAGTTCAAACAACTTCATGACTGGTCAAGTTAACTAGTTTTGGTTAAATGGACAAAACACTAGACCAATTCACTTGTTTTTTTTGGTCGAATCAGCTGGTCCAGTGTTTTTTGTAATCAACGGCTTGCAGTCAGTGTACAATCTAAGGTTACTTAGGTGAGTCTTAATCCATGGTATATACACATTTCTTCACATACAAAAAAGTTGCAGATGAGAAGGGACAAGAGTGAAACTACTCAATATAATACCAACTTAATTTTAAATGAAAACAAGGGCAGTTGATATGGGAAAGTTGAATATGTTGATTGGATATCGAACTAGACAAAACATGGAAGGTAAAGTATTACCTAAAGCCTCTGGTTTCATTCTTACTGCCACGGCAGAACAACTGTAAAAGTAAAAATAAATCAAAATAATAAGCAGAAATATTCTTATACTAAGAAAATTCAAAATATAATGTCTGAAGACAGCATCATAAATTATAATAAAGTATGGATACTTAAGAGTTAACACAATATGCATGTATGTCTGAATGTAAGCATTTTTTTTTGTGTAGAATATGGTAAACAGAATGTGAGTATGTATAACAAGCTTTCATCTTTCTCAATGACTAGAAGATGACAATATATACAGATAGTCAGATATATGATTCTTTGTAGGGGTAATTGCCAAACTGGAATGCTGTTTTTTCATTTACAAGAAATGTGCAGTTAAGCATTTAATCTTCCAGATATGGATGTTCTCCAGGCTTTTCCCTTACATTTATTACACAAAAGGATACACACTTACACCTGTTTTCCAGGCTTGCCCCTTACATTTTTGTTATTTGTTACATGGAATGAAAATGTTTTGGTCTTATCAAAATCAATTCAACAGAATTTTCACAACTGATACGCAAAGAAATTGAACACTTTGGCTGTATTTTTTTTTTACCAACTTTGGCTCACTGCTTTCCTTTTCTTTTTAGGAGACCATAGATATAATTTCTTCTTCTCTTTCCCACTCTGGGTGGTGAGAGGTGACGGAATTGGATGATGATAGGAACTGAATTTACTTAGACTAATGGAGGAAATACTCAGAGAACAGTGCTCTGATTACAAGGATAATATGCAAAAAAGTATAGGAAGCAAATCAGAGAAGGAAAACTTCTATGCATGTGGCAACAGCCACCCACAACTACCCAAAGGATTGCCTACCTCTTGATCTCTTCCTTTGTGTCCCACACAGCCTCTAACTTTACCTCAAAGAATTTACTACTTGCACAAGTTTGTTACAGTCAATGTAAATCCCTCTTTTTGCCCTTTAACCATATATGCGCCAAACAGATAGTGAAAGCAATGTTCATAAATACAAATCCTGTAGTAAAGCCTTCAGGACAAACCATGACACACACAAACACAAGTATAGAAAATAGAAAGGTTCATTGACAGTAGAAAATATTTCTTTCCTCAAAAATAGGAGGTCTGCTTTCAAATACTTCATAACAAGTAATGATTTGAGATCCAACTCTCAGTAACAATTCAACTATAATTAACAAATGATAATTTTCAGAAAATAATAGACTACTAATAACTTCTGGTTACTGAGAATAGATCTTTCAAAGATTCATATGATAACAGTAGCCAGCCAAAAGTGCACAAAGGTTTAGACTAAAGTGTTAACCATATTATAGACAATGCAAATACTTCATACAAAAGCCAAGAAGAATTGCATTTCAGAAATGTCTAAAGGTTTAATACAGGTATTGAGGTCCTACCCAGTATCCACGAGGCACATCTTTTCCACAAATCTTTAAGTTCCTAACTGAACTCTTATCATCTTCCTGCTTGCCAGTTGACCAAAAATCTGTTGGGTACAAGTCATCAAAGCTCACAAGAAATTCAGCAGTACCCTTCCGGCATCTGAAAAAAAGTCCAGAACACAAAAAAAACTGACATTAAATACCAGGCACTTGGGCAGATAATAAAGGATCAGTAAAAGGTTGATCTTACCTTCTAGAAGGATGATGAGCTGCCAAAAGCTGAAGAAACTTTATAAGTGAAGCACGAGTTTCAGCTTTTATCATCTGCCAAACAGAAAGCATGACTACTATCATCCAAAACAATAAGAACAAAAGACCATTCAGGGATGGATAAATCTACCTTGTGCTCTAAAATGATGTCAAAAGCTGTAGAAGTTGCCTCTTCTACATCATAAATAGCTCTTGCAATCTTTCCAAGTCATGCATACCATACAAGTCAATATCTTTAAATATTAAATGAAAGGAATTCATACATGTGGGTGTGTGAAGAAAAGGACCTGTCCAGGGTCTGATACATTGGATGAAAGAAGCTCATTTTGAAATTTCTGATCATCCAAGCCAAATGCACTGCAACATTATAAACATTATAAGTTGCATACAATTTGCATCAAATTTAGCAAAAATGCATGATGACAATTTTCAGGTTCCATCAGACAACTGAAAATGCTTTGTCATAATTCTAGACTCTTGCACTTGAACTTCGATTTTTTCCATGCTGTCTAGTCCCTACTTGGTAGTCCATTATATGTCTACAATGTGGATATTCCAAATTCCATATACATCATCTGGCTTAAATAAAATATTCACCTAACATATCATAACTGCATCAACAATGAATTTATTTATACCTCATACCTGCCTAATTGCTTGTTGATCCAATTAAGCAACCGATCAGCTGTGCGTGCATCATCAATCACACGTATATTATTTTTCTCTTGTTGTTTAGGTTCCCAACCACTACCAACAAATTTAGAAGGAGGGCCCCAAAAAAGCATAGGATAATGACCAACAGAAAATTTATCGCAGAGCTTAGTATTTATCTGTGCTGCCAAAAAATTGAACAGAAAGGTACCAATCACCGGGGCATGTTTAGCATATAAAATATAAATATTTAATCTCACCTTAACCATATTAAGAGAGAAAGACAAAATGCACGCACCTTTGATGCACAATCTACCCTTGTCATTAAAATGATTCCTGGATGCACTGCATCAGGCCCATTGAATAATCTTGCAACCTTTTCGTAGTGCGGCTGCATTAAAATTTCAGTGAGATAATAATGACGAGTTGAAATGTTAATTGAAAAAAGTCCAAAAAAAATTGTTATACATTAATACCTTATAATTCCTGCATGCAGGGCACCTGACAGAGAAGCAAGGGAAAAAGGAAATGAGAATTTCTTATACTAATATTTCATTCTTCTAAATCTAGTTATGTGCAGAAAAGAAAATAATTATTCCCAATGAATGCAAGAGTATAAGTTCCATTAGACTGTAAAAAACAAAATCCTTTCAAATTTCTGTTCCCACATTAGCATGTTAACTAAGATAAGAAATATCAGAAGGCAAAGTGAAATAATCAGCTCCTCAAGCATATCGAGAGGTTTTCGTTGAGATTTGACTATAAAATGATTCAATTTTCATTTTCGTGGTTAAAGGCACATTCATGAATCCTTGGATTAAAAAACGGTTGAAAATATTCAGTTGACAGAATTTTTGATATTTAATTCAGTGATAAACAATATATTGTTAACAAAGTGTGTTTGGATTAGTTTATCTTATTCAAACAAAACAAAAATAGTTTGTTTTACATTTAAAACAACTTATGATTGAAAAGTTATTGAAGGCGATTCTGAAAAGGGAATATTATTTTCCCTCAAAACTTAATATAATCGAAACATTCTACACCAACCCAGTCTTCTAAAATAATAGGAAAATTGTAAAAGGAGTGTGGATGGGAACTTTAAAATACATGTCTAATAATCATTTCTCACATTTACTGTCTGTTACCAAGCAAACATGAAATATACAAATAGAGTTAGAAGTATATCTAATTTAGAAATTGACCAAATAGTTCTTCTCTGCCTTCTCCTCTCTTTTCAGTAAGACCACAAGGGGTATTTCAAGTGAAGTCTCGATAAAACACCACACTGTATTATTATTTATTTATTTATTTATTTTACACTCCTAGCATCAATTCCACAAAAAACTCATTAGCTCCCCTGACTGTTTCTCTACAGCTCCAATCACCTTAAACTCGATTAGTGGTAACAACAGAAAACACCACTTCACTATAAAAAGCAAACTCAACAAACCAAACAACAAAAACTTCCAAAAGCTATCCAACAACTGCAGATCCAATTTGAAGATCAAAGGCCATTCCCCCTTCCATCAATCACCCAAAACCAAAAACCAATATTAAAAAAAAAAAAAAAAAAAAA